GCTGATTAGCCGGAGTGTATCTGTGGCTAATTGAATTCATTAGATGCAATGACAGCCGTCACAGATGAGGATGAGGCTGGATAACTAGAACAGACAGAACTATCCAGGGACATGAGGAAACATTAACAACAGTAAACAGCATTGAACTGGAAAAGTTTGCAGTTCACAACACTTTTTTTTTTTCAATCTGGCAGCATGACCAACCTAAACAATAAAGATTTTTGTTAAACCCAAAGCAGATCAATAGCTGTCTTCAACCCTGTGTGTTATCATAGCTATATTATATTAGACCATGGGAAGATTGGAGAAGAGTTAAAAGACAGATGATGTGTTGCGTAAAATAAATGGACAAAGGCATGTGCAAAAAGTGACATGATGGATGTAGAAATATTCTGGAGTCTTTATGCTGCTGGTGGCTTTCACTGATGCTCAGTCGCTCCTGAGCCAATCTGCTGGAGCTTGATGACTATTCTGGCAACAAGAAGTTCCAAGGGGAGTGGTGTGCCAAGGTTGAAAGAATTCCAAGGAGACTTGATGCTTTCAGTGGAAGCAAAATTCTTCAACAAAGTGAACAGTTTGAATATTTGTCAAGACATAGAATTTTTAGCATTTTTCTCTCAAAACATTTTTAAAAAATAGGTCACAAGATGCTATTGTTTCTCTTCTGCTGAAGAGCACAGCGGTTAATAAGGAGCGGGGGGAAAACACAGAAGCTGATCGACTTTCAGGAAGATTTGGAAACATGACATGAGTGTTGGAAAAATGCTTGAAAACTTTCCAATCGCACTTGATTTTGTACTGTTGCTCCACAATACCCCTTCAGCGGTGCTTGACTGAATCACGACGGGCAAAAAAAACCCACCAGCTTCCAGCAGGCGTGAAAATCAATAGCGAGCACAATTTCACAGGTTGCTTGTTGAGATATCTTCCTCCAGATCGAAGTCCTGAACTGATGAGCGGACTGACTGCTGTCAACCACCTAGCAGCGAGCTTCAGGTCAAGAGTTGCCTCGAGTTCATCAAAGGATGCATTATTTTCCAGTTTTCATGAAATGTCAGAGAACACCCAGATCTCTGATGCCAAAGATTTTGGGTGCAATTACACAAATTGCCTGCAAATCGACCAGTTTGCTGCATCTGAAAAGAAAATAAACATGCAGTCATGTTCTATTTTCACCAATTTTCTTCCAACCTTGCTGTTTTTTATTTAACTGCTCCAAAAACGGATTAAAAAACATTTTCCTTGAATTATTTCTGAATTCCCACTTATTTTTTCTTATCAAAAGCTTGAGAAAAATACAGCCAGAAACAGATTCACAGCTAATTTTACTAAACCCAGAGCCATCTTAATGTGGATAAAAACATTGAGTTCCTCCTCTTCTATTTGACTGATGTTTTTTGTTCAGGTCTTTACTATTACTTTTTTATGAATTACTTCAGATTTTCCTCTTACAGCAATTTGCATGTTTTGTTGTTCAAAACATCAGTTTTCTTTTTTTTTGGTCATCTAAAACTACTTTAAAAGGGAAGTCAAATGAAAGGTTGAAGTAAGGCTTCTGATTTACAATGACAAGAAAAAGACTAGTGTTAGTATTAGTACAAAGAGCTGGGATAAAGTTTCACAGTTAGACCTATAGATGCTGAGTTAATGCCTATTTTTAATATTGTTGATGACTAATCCTGTGTTCTACCAACAGTTGTCTGTGAACACAGATACCATCAAAATCGTGTGATTGGCTGCTTTACCTCTTTCAGAGTCAGGGTCTTTTGAAAGGGACTCACAAAATAGTCCTGTTTATGAATCCTGAGTTCTTTCCAGGGGTTGTTTATTTTTGTCTCCTGTTTTCTGTAGTCTAACTTGTACGGAAAAGCCAACACATCTTGTAATAGGTGTGATCTGAACAAAACCCCCAAAATGACAATCAAAGATTCAAGTGTGTGTGTGTGTTTGTGTGTACATACAATATGTGCTGCTCTGAAAAAGTACAAACAGTGGCACCCAGTGGCTGAAAACTTCAAAATGAGGCATGTGAAGTGTTTCACAACTTCTTCTGAGGTCGGGAATGATCAGCTTCCCTTTGATCGCACATTGTGGCAGGTAGCCTCTCTATTTAAAAAAACACAGTTTCCTTGTTTTGTTTCTCTGTCTCATTCAGTGATGTGACGGTTGATATGAAAAGTGACTGTGTTGTGTCTTTTATGAGGTCCTTCAGCTCTAAGGTTTCATGCAAGAAATCAAAGAAGAAGGAGATTCATCAGATTGATTAACATCAGACATATAAACGTCTGATTTCCTACCCCAGAGATCCCTGCTCTGAGATCTACTGAGGTCACTTTACTGGGGTCAGGAGCGTGCTTGCAACATCACACCCTGTGGGAGGAAAAAAGCAAACATGCCAACAGTTTTCTTTTAGCAGAAACTCAGTATGCTGTGACTGGAGGTTCTCACCTGCAGCTTGGGTCAAGCAGGTTAGACTTTAGGTCTGAAGTTAAGTTCTGTAACAACCTCGGAACTAAAATTATTCACCTTTAAACTGAAAAATGTCAACACAAACATCATGCTACTCAAACTGAGGTAACCTTTAAACTTCTTATCAGAATGTAAAGTTGAACAAAGAAAGAATGTATTGAATTTTGAACAATAGATGATGTTTTTATGTGCATTAATCCACAATTCTTATAAAGTATAAGGACATATATCTGGAGTCACATCTGGGTAAAGAACTTTAGGTACCTAATGCAGAATGGCCGAGAGTGAGTGCCAGCCTGTGGTAGTTTGCTGCATGTGTTCATGCTTTATTTAAAATTGTACTATCCAGTCAAATTGATTTCTAGTAGAAGACAGTGAAAAAATGAAACGATATCAGATCCCAATTAAAAGCTCCTCAGACGCAAAATAAAAACCAACACACAGTTCATGCTTCACCTCTTATTAGATTCTTCTTTGTCTTTCGCTATATTTTTAGTGTTTTAAAGCAATATTTGGCCTTGATTTAAAAATAAAACCTCTAATCTAACTGCCAATATTATTTATGACATTTTAATAAACAAAAGTCTAATTTTGTTCTTCGCTTCTTTCCTTAATTTCTCAGTCCTACAGTCACAGATGGAACTCACAAATATTGTCAGAGGTTCCTGGCTGATAGAAATACTCACCGAAACCAATTGTCCTGTTTCTTCAGGACCCCAGGCAAAGGTGGATTTGAACACTGTAGTTTAAGTTGTAAAACAAAAAAACCTACTAGTGACTGCTTTAAGTGTTAGCCCAAAAAATTGCTGACTCACTTGAAATGTATGCTAGGAAGGAGATCTGACTAAACAATCTTTAAGAAGAATAGGAAATGGAAAAATCCCATCTTGATGCTTCATTAAAGAACATGGAAGTGATTATTTTTCTAAATTTTCCTTGAATTACCATTGCTACATCTTGTTTCCTTGAATGTGCCTGAAATGGGCGGGTGTTCTAATTTAAGAACCTAAACCAGCTCTCAACATCCTACAGCTGCGGCCTATGGATGAATTACCCAAAGGTTCAAAGGAAGAATAGTATTGAAGGTTCAAACTCTGTTTGAAATTTGTGCCGAAACATATCCATCATCAATCCATCCATTCATTTTATAAACCCACTTATTCCTAGAAACATAAACATGCATTTTTGTTACACTTACACCAATGTTGTACACCAACAAAAATAGTTAGCAAACAAAAGTATACTTATACCTAGCTATACATTGCCTCGTTAAAAAAACAAAAAATCCCCATTAACAGGCCTCTAAAATTAGAAAAAAATTGAAAAAGAATTGTTTTGGAATTATTGAGGTTTATAGACACAATGGTCAAAGAAACTCAGACAGCAATAACTCAATCTTGTAACATCAGATGGATGTTAGTATTTCTAGGGTCAATCCAGTTCAGGGTTGCAGGGAGGCTGTTGTTGGACCAGAGGCAAGACCAAGTTTGGACTATCATAACCTGAGTTCATTGATTCTACCTTTAAAGATTTCATTTGACGCTAAGACTTGTTTTTTCTCTTTCCAAGGACAGAGATGTGGTGTGAGACTACCTTAAAACTCAGAAACACAGCCATGCCTGGCATATACTTGTCAATTGGTTAGTTGGTATTCAACGCAAAGAAGTGCTAGTTTCACCAACCTTCTGGACAACAGTCAAGTCTTTATTGACAACAGGTGGTTCCACCACACAAGAACAACAGCAAGAAAAGTAGCGCGGCATAGAAACACTGAGTGTACCACACTAAAGAAAAGAACCCAGAACGACTCAAATGAATTGATAAACAGATTAAAAAGTTCGACTTCAGTGTGCCGTCATGACAAGAACAAATAAAAAATGCATCTGGCAGAAAACTGTGATGCACACAGTGAAGTCATTGCCATGAAACCCTATATTTGAAGTACATCAGCCTAGATATTATTTCAACTACTGATCTGCTGTCCCATTTTATAGGAGACCATTGACACATTTGCATACAGTATCTAGTAGTTTGAGACTTACATGGTTTTTATTGCAGGTACAATAATGATTGCATGTGCTCTTAACCTACTCACAGCCGTCTGTCCACAGTGAATGCATTCACACCTTTAAAGCATAGACTCGCCACTATAAGAGTAGGCTTGTGCTGTTGAATAGACATGAGATTTGACAACAATTTTAAGTGCTTCGTCACTGCAACTGTTAGTGCAACATGTAAGGATGTGTCCATGCAATATGTATAAATAATCTATTCCAGTCACATCGAATCCTATACTGCTAAAATGATTAAATCAGATGTGGAAAAGTAAGAGAGCAAGAAAAACGAGAAAAACATCTGGTATTTCTTAAGCTGTCCACCAGATGGTGGAAAAGGAGCACCAAGTCTGAGCAGACTCACTTAGTAAGACGTGGAGGGAGAGGAGTAGTGGAAGTCATGCTCAAGAGGAAGGAAAAAACAAGATCACAAAACACTGGGTGGGGTTTTTGGGTGTGTGGAGGATCTTTGTATGCTTGTGCACGTGTATCCATATGATTGTTTTTTTTAATAGAGCTAAACAACATCCATTCATCCATCCATTTTCTGAACCGCTTATTCCCAAATGGGGTCCCAGCAGTCAGTGGGCGAGGGGCGGGGTTCTGCCAGTCCATCGGACAAAGCTAAACAACACTGATTATCAATCCTTTTTTTTTCTCCTAGAGATGGCAATGTGCTTATTCTAAATGACCATACCAAACAGAGAATATCTTAATGGTCATAAAAAATTGTGTCACGATTGTTCCATAACAAGCAAACAAACAAAGGAATTCATTCATAAAAGCATGCTCTCATTAACAGTCACACACATTCATTTTTACGCACACTCAAGAGATGGAAACCCCAAACCGGCCAGACTTTTGTGCACAGCCACACGTTTAGCCAAGGCTGGTGATGTTGGAGCGACCACCGGGTGGGGCTACAATGCGGTGGCCAGACCTGCGAGGAACATTATCATCGATCTGAGCACCTGAGAAAAAAAAGACGAAGCCAAATGTTAGACAGGTTTTCAGAATCTCTTCATTACTCAACAAATAAATCTCAACGTCAGAGCTGGGTATTTAAAGACAGTCCAAATTTAACCTGAAAGGCTGAAGTTGGACTGGTGAAGATTGCGTATCGGTGGTGGCTGGTGGGAGGTGGGAGACGTTTTGGCTGACGGAGCAGGGGTAATGTATTTAGGGGTTGGCGCGACATCATAAACTGGACCGTCGTATATCCCACGAGTGACACCTTGCTTACTCTTAACCTGGATGGACATAAAACAGGCAGTCGTTCAGTTCATTTTCAGAATCCTCATGTCCTGTAACCCATTTAAACACCATTGCGCAGCCATTATGAGCTTATTTACACTTGAATCTGAGAAGTGTTGACAATTTTATGCTTACTATTGTCACAGATGAAGAATTTGTTTGTTAAAAAGACATTTAACATTCATAGATTGTTGCTTATACCCATAGTCAGAAGGATATTTAAACTGTCAAAGACAGAGAATTGTACATTTCTCTCATATTTCAGCTTGTTTCTTTTTATTTCTAAAAAACGACACCAGGATTATATGATCGAACCAAGACATTATGATCTATTATTCAAATCTAATGAAACCCCATAAATATGTCCAGTGTTAATTATTTCAATCAGTTGAGCTAATATGGAACTTGACCTCAACATATGTCAACTCTGTGTTATATCACCCATTCTTTTAACAACCCCCCGTAACAAATGACTGCCTTTGGAGTTAAACTGCAATGTCCTTCATAAGAAACCTCACAAAGTTTTTTCAAAACCTTTAAATATATTGCAGAACCCAACCTCATCGGGATGTATTGTACTCTGAAATCATATCAAGACCAATAAAAGTATTCAAAGAAATAATCTAATAATATATACTACCATAATATTCGTGTCCAAAACAAAACAGCAAAGATGAGTCTCAGTATGGTTAAAGCTATAACTAATCTTTCAGGAAAATCGTACATACAAGCTTACCTCATTCCTGAACTTAACACGTTGGTAAGCGTAGTCCGGGAAGGCCTTGCGGGGAATAAATCGGCCGGTTCCCGGCTGAGTATGCAGCTTGCCACCTTCAAAAACTATCCGGCCATGACTCAACACCAGTGCTGGGGCGCCTCGGCACTCCACACCCTCGAAGATGTTATAGTCTGCAGCCTGTGTGGAGAGGGATAAATTATGAGCCAATGGTAGACACACAAATTACAATTACTGGGACTAAACAACAAGTGATAGTGTAAATAGACTGGGGTGGGTAGCAAGATAGCAGCCTGCAGAGGGTGAGGGATAAAGGGGGATTATAATACAAAACTGGCACCCGACCGGATATAGCACCTTAGAGAAATGCAGATCAGACTGAATACACCAATTACTGTCTAACATTTTCTTTTATCTTGCGCCAAATAGCGTTAGATACTCGTTCCCCAATGATGGTGTGGTGGTGAAATGAATTGCATCATTTAAAACCATTAATCTGCAATGCAGAAAGGTTTATGTTTTCCTTATATGTCTAGTTTTTTTGTCTGGCTCTCTGTAAGGCAGATTGGTCTCGTCATTGTTGCGTTGGTGACACTGATAGTCTTTTTGCTTTGAATTGCCATTGAAAAGAGAGAGGTCCAGCTGCCTGTCCCTTTCACATGTGCTTATTCTCTCTTTATGGTTAAAAGCGCATCACTAAAATAACTTAAAATGAATCAGGATTCTATAAACAACATATTTTAGAAGGACTAAAAGTCAGCAGTGCAATCCAAGAGAAAAAAGATGGCCCTGAAGGTATACAAAATAAGAGCTTTACAGTCCCTTCAGGTGTATTATTCCTCAGAGACAACACTTGTTGTTATGGGTCTTATTCGAGGGTATCAACCTAAAAGCTACATAGCTGGAAATGTTGTTGCTATAATGGGATAAATGGAGTTGTATTCATAGCATAAACAAAATGCTCGAAACAGTGGAATATAGAATTAGCTCTTACTGGGCTACAGATAACTTTCATGTTTACTTTAGTGTTTTTCCTATAGTTTCAGCAGCAACATTCCTCTTGCACCAGTTACAAGAGTTTGCTGATTGTTTTGTATTGTCTTGAACGTGACTGTCATGCAGTTAACTGAATTCTATTTGGCTTGAACTGGACTGTATTTGAAAAGCCAAGGCATGGCTTTTGTTTTAGGGCAACATAAACCAAACTGGGTTTAACAGAATTTGAATCGATTGGATCTGAATTGAACAAAACAAAATCCCATCCCTACCCTTTATATCCCTACCCAATTTATTTTCCTACCGACTGCTGGAGTTTGGCGGTGACGGTTTTGATGCTATCAGGGTCCCAGATGACGATGTCGGCGTCAGAACCAACAGCTATGCGTCCCTTGCGTGGGTACAGATTAAAGATCTTAGCTGCGTTGGTCGATGTGACCGCCACAAACTGGTTCTCATCCATCTTCCCCATGGCCTAAGTGAATTTGAACACGAAAAAAAAGATAAAGACCATGACAACACAAAGGACAAAATCAATGCAATTGCTCTTGCTCTCATTGCTCACCACAGCCTTGTCCCAGACAAAGCCCATTCTTTCCTCTATTCCATTTGTTCCCTCGGGGATTAAGGTGAAGTCATCTTTACCGACCGCTTTCTGGGAGGTGCTGTATGCGCAGTGAGCACTGCCCACCACCTGGAGGTCCCCGCTGAGACAGAGTAGAACTTCAGTTATCAACCTTTCAAAGGTCACGATGTTCACAGCGAATTTATGGCTGTTGAGATTTCTCCCTTGTAGGGAGAATCAGTGGGTTGTGGGTTTAAAATGAATTTGGTCTAAGCATAGACAACAGTGCAGACATTGTCAACAGTAGCCACCAGATGTCCTTGTTGAGTTTGTGATTTGAGGCACATTTCATGTGGGATAAAACCAGCTGGATTTTATCCCTCAGACATTTAATGCGAATGGCTCCACCAGTAAATGCCGTTACTTAAACAAACCACCAGCAACCTGTGCACTTGCCTTACCTCTTACTATACAAGAGGCGGAATCTGATTAGAAACTGATAAAGAGTGACAATTAGCGTAGTCCGTTGCCTGGCTTCTCATCAGCTCATTAATTATAGCGAAAACTCTATGATTGCGAAGCGTGGAATCATCGCTTTAATGCGGAGGGAGCTATCACAGCAGAGATATGATATGGGCTCGCTGAAAAAAAAAAACGCCAAAAACTGCTCGAGCCTCTGAAGAGGCACCTAAAATTAGATCCTGTCATTTAAGGGGAGGTTCAGAGAGAAGAATAGTCACAGCACAGACGTGACAGCACGGACCCGCCCTGGGAAGCCGGAGTTAAAGAAGAACGGCAGGAGAACAGAGTAGAATAAGGGGGGGGGGGGCACTTGGTAGCCAGGCAACAGATGATCAGAGACTCTAGTTTCTGTGCTATTTATGGAATGGAGGACATTCAAAAATGTGCAGCTGGAAGTAGCTTGTGGGCATGTGTAAAATTTGATGTGAGGGCCGAGGTAGGTGCGCTTTATACCTCTACGTGATTGGATTTCATCTTCCTCTTAAGCTACAGTTCAGATGATCTGAAGATTAATACAAAGTCCTTTTACAAATAAACCTCCCTCACCTTCCTTTTTTCTATACGTCACCCCAAGCTGCTCTGATCTGACTCTATGCGGCACTGTAACAGTTGTTGGCAGGATGAATACCAATTAATATGAAAGGCTGCACAGCATGAATTAAATCTGTTGGCGTCTCCTTTGCTGTCATCTGGCTGATTTGCATTTTACTTTGTGCAGAGGTCAGAGCTAAATGCAAGGCTTTCAAGTGGCCAAAAAGAAGTAAGTTTGAAAAGTGTCCACAAGTTCAAATGTCTGTGAAATCTCCTTTAAAACTCAGAGTTCAGCAAGAGTAAAAAAAAAAACATGAGAAAGTCTTGCTGTAAATGGCTGATGTCTTTCAAAAGATGTAGCGTCATACCAGGATAGAAGTGTATGGAGATGGTCTGGGGTTGTGGGGTCAGGACTCAAAGGTGGAGAGGTCACATAAGCAGCTGCTTTGGCCCAGTTTTTGCTCCAATAATGAGAACCATCGGTCGCCAAGCAGGCTGTAATTGGCTCCCCAAAAACCACAGAACCTAGATGAGAAGATGGTCGAAGAGTAAATTTAGTATTACAATTCGACCATTCAAAAAGAACAAATAGGTGGATTTTATCCAACAAAAAAGGGAAGTAAAATGCAATAAGAAAACAAGACAGGCGCACCTTTCCTCCGGGCCTGAGCGACGGTGTCGGCTGCACTCTTGCTCATCACTTTTGTGATGTAGACGGGACAGTTCACACGGTTGCCCAGGGTGATTGCCCGAAACACCGCCTCGGCCTCCAACTGCGAAAAAACCGGACGGGCAGAGGACTTCAGAAAAGCGTTCAGCGACGGACAGGAGCGTACGGTGAGCATAAACGGCACTCACCTCCTCAGGACGACTCAGAGGGTGGCCTTCAGGACCGGTTATTCCCATTCCCAGGATTTTTTGCTGCTCCTTAAACACAAATCGAAGAGTTATGACCATACGCCATACGGTCTCGATATGGTATCACACATTTTGCAGTTCTTATGGCGATATAGGAGGGGGGTAAAATGAACATTTCATGCCTTGTCACTTATGTGGACAGCTGGTGTGGACAGCGATGGTACCTCTGACAGCCCCATGCAGCACAGCTAAAGTTGAATTAAAGCCAGACCGTCCCCATATATCATCTTCCAATTGAATCATTACGTTAACAAGCCCGCCATTATCATTCATCAGCACCCCCATCATCCACATGTCCACAATACTACGTCGACATTACGAGCACCATCATCTTTATCGTCCTAATCACCGTTACATCATCGCCCCTCATCAGCATGATAATGTTCATCAGGAATAGTGGCCGAAGATAAAGCTGTCGTTCTCTGCAGTGGCTGCAGCAGGAGTAATCCTCTGTCTCCCCTTTAAAGGGATGGCAAGTTATGCAACAAGAACATAACTCAGCACTCAGCTGCAGTGGGGTGGGGGGGGGGGATGAAGGTAAAAACGAAGGCAGGAGGCAGTAGCAGGAGGCTGTAGCACATACCTGAGCAATCAGGTCTCCGTTTTCAGCGTGAACCAGCACCATGGCGCCCAGCTGCTTCAGGAAGGAGAACGCCTCGTACAACTGCAGAGGAAGCAAGGGCAGAGGAGGGTATATTAGTGAAAGGAAGGTTTTCAAACTCGCAAATTTACCTCATGTGTTTTAGGAATTAGGAGCCGTACCTGAGTATCTGTCAACTGGTACAGATCTTTGTAAGCCATGTAGACTTGAAAGGAATTTATACCTGAAAACAGAGGAAATGGCTTGATAAAAATGACATAATCAAAGGGAAATAATCAAAAGACAAAGGCAGACTACCTCAACTCACAAACAATCTCATCGTGAATTACAAAGCAACGCATGACGACGACTGCCATCTACTCCAACAGCAAGATTGTCTGTGTCATTTTAAAGAATATTACAAGTAAGAATTGTGCGCCATTATAATGGAAACAATGGATCCTTACAGCAATTCACCAGTAAGAGAATTCAGAACTTGGCCAAGCTACTTACAAGCTACTGTGTCCCCTCATGTTATTCTAATTTGTGTCTTTACTGGAGGTATTACAACAATTGAATGCATCTCCGTGGAGTCTACCTTTGTCCTGCACCAGCAGCTCCAACTCGTCTTTGACAGTCTCGTCCCAGTGGGGGATATCAACGTGCAGGGAATAATCGCAGCACGCCTTTTTATCTGCGGCCTCCTGCCAGCGCTCAAAGGCCTCTAAGAGACTGTCCCCAGGCTGAGGGGTCACGTGATCAACTGGGATGGTTAGAAGGGAAAGAGGTTTAGGATGCAACGCGTAATCACACACGTTATTCTCCTTCTGCGTCCACACTCACGGATCATAGTCGTTCCTCCTGCCAGTGCAGCCTTCGTGCCCTGGAGGAAGTCATCCACAGGCTGGATTCCCAGGTAAGGCTTCATCAGGCATGTGTTGACATCTATCCCCCCTGGTATCACCATACGCCCATTGGCCTCGATCACCTTAATGCCTCCTGGAACAACCAGGTTCTCCCCCACCTGCCTGCCAAGGATTAGATCAAAGAGAAGACAATGTCAGGGCAGGTACTGAAACTATGAAAGATGTAAAATATAAATGTGCATGAAAGGATCCAGTTATTGAGTCTGAGCAATTAAAGAATTTGTTGCATGGCATACAGTATGAAGCTATTGCCTGAAACCACCCCTCATTTCTTTACAGTTTGTTTTTCTTTTTTATATATATATTGGCAGCCTTTACACCAATATTTGGGATGTCTTTCAATAAACCTGGAGAACTCTTTCTGAAGATGATCTATAGCAATTACAACAACTCTTGTCTACGAGAATTCTGGCCTTGTTGAAAAATAGGGGCAGTTTCACAAAGTATTGACTTCAGAACGTTTTAGAAATTATTATATTTCATTTTACATATATACTGCATATATTTTCTATTTTGTAAGAGGTTTTGATTGGTTTCTAATGACTTTTGTAAAGTCATCAGTGGTTCCAAACGCACTTGATGAGCCCATCCTCAATGTAGACATCTGCGTAGAAAGACTGGTCATCATTCACCACTCTGCCTCCTTTGATCAGAAGCCTTTCACCCTGCAGGAGAATAAGACAGAAAGGAAGAAGAGGAGTAAACTGGGGGGTAGAATTATGATATACAGCACGATCTTATAACCTCGGTGGAGGAGGAACACATTGCAAGTCAGTGCTGTGCCTTGGTGGAATCAAATTATTATTATTTGATTTTTGGTTTTGCATTTCAAAATACGGTTCCCACATACAGTATATGGTCAATCTCAGAATGATTTAGATTCCAGTGTAATCATAAGCATCTTTTTCTCTGACTACTGTGTCCACACCCTCTGCATGGAGGGTGCCTGGCAACAGCATTGAGAAGATGGTATGTCTCCATGGTAACTGATATCCCATGGTTTCCACATGATGGCAGCTGACAGCCGACTGAATTGTGTGCACCTTGAATGCTCAAGAAACGTCAATGTATGCATGACAGCTGTGCCAAAAAGAATCGTAAATCATGCATTGATCGAAATGAAATGATTGATAAATAAAAACTATACGTCTTTGAAAACAAATCAAGCTTGTTTCTATATGCAGGCGTTAGCACTTTCGACCGTCACGCACACTGAACTAATCCCACTGACAGGCGACTACGGATTATGCAACACAATCCAACACGGAGACACAACGTTGACAGAAGACTGTCATATCTTTGTCGCTGCAGTCCCACAAAAGAAACCGCACGCTACATTTAAAAGGGACCGTCTGCTCTTTGCCATTCACTAAGAATTTAATCCCATTTTCAGCCTTGCAGCGGGGGATTTGCATATATACAAGAGAGCCTCTCCAGAAACTGCTCGCTTCAGATCAGAGCGGGTCCCCTTACCGTCAGGTGGGGGATGCTGTTATTCCCCTGGTGACCGGTCTCAGACATGCTCTCTCTGTCTCTCTGCCCCCCCCCCCTGGCAGTCAGATCCGGGGCCCCGTGATGCGCTCTTTAGCCGTCTGCCCCCCCTCTATAGACGCGACTCGTTTTTTATCTCGGTGTGGCAGATATGAGGGCGATGAATCCGCCGCCGTACAGGCTGCGTCGGATTGCGTGACGCGTTCAGGCGACAGGCGGTACGACGACACCGTGCGTGCGCGTGCGTGCATGCGCGCAGAAAAAAGAAAGCGTTTGCCCAGTGGCGTTGGCGACGTCGGCTGAGGATAAACTGTGTCTACCAAGTGTGCACGCGTGAAACCGCACGCGCGCGCGCAAAAAATGCCTCACGCACGAGAGAGAACAAAAACACAACAGCGGAGGATGCTGTCTGTCGCTGTCCACTTCAGCACCACACAACTATTTGGCATCTCAGTGCGTCTTTTTTTTTCCGTATGAGCTCCGTCTGCACACACGCACAAACTACACACACCAAAAATAACCAAACTGCAGTGCACCACAAGTTAATCATTTATACAGACGGAGGCATTGTACTGGATCTTGTATAAAAGGAATTATTGTCATTATCACTGCTCACTGATATTGTCTGAAAATACGCTCACAATATGTAGCTCCGACCATTTCTTTTCAAAATAAGCCTGCGTTTTCTGCCGTAGTTTGCTTATAAAGACAGCCATAAAAAACAAAAACAAAATCTAGGCCACAGAGCCAGGGCGTGAATCGTGGCGATACCTGTCCATCTGGGCTTTCCTTTCCCGATGAAACTGAGACCTCCACACCTCGTTGCGCCTCTTGCGTCTCTCCGGGAGAGTTGGGCAGTGACTCCTCTCGGGCGTCGCCAGGGGTCTTCCCCGCGGGGTCACCGGCGTCCAGGAGCCTCTCCCGACTCCCGCTCCTCGGAGTGCGGCTCCCTTTCCTCCCCACGGCGTAGTTGTCGAAGTCTATGGTCTTGCTGTCGAACGCTCCCTCCACGGAGCTGAACATCCCGTAGGTTTTGCGCTGGTTGGGCCCGGTGGTGATGGGGCCCGCCAGGTAGACCGGGAGCTCGTCCTCCCGGTTCCACTGCCTCCTGCAGTCAGACATCTCGGCTTCCGCATGCAGGGGAGGTTTCGAACTTCTCCCGGTCTGAGGCGGCACTGACAGTTTTGCTTGTTTCGCGTCAAATCGGGTCACAGTCACGCCTCTCCGGGCAAGCGCACTCCGGCGATGCTGTGAAGTGTGAGAAGTGGCTCCTCTCTCTCCTCCTCTGATGCAATGTTCCAGTTTGGAAAGATCTGCTCCGTGAACTATATTCAAAGTGTAGCAGTCTCAGAATTGAGATTGAATTGTAGTTTTCACAAACAGTCGAAATCAGAGCAATCCTGCTTTCTTTGTTTGCGTGAGCGGCTCATTCCATCCGCGGATTAAAACAGCATGTCCCGTGTTTAACCCACATTTGGGTGCATGGGGAGGGGGTGTCTATAGATTTCGTGGCTTATCTCTTTTTAAGTATTCCAGCAAAAGTCAAAGAGGCTGATGGGCTGCTGATGTATTTTAGTGCCTGATGGAAAGCGCCAACAGAGCACAATAACAAACATATAATAACACTTCTATTGAGATATTTGGAGGCAAAAAAAAACAAATCCTGTGAGTGAAATCATGAACGTTATTGAAAGTAAAGGCAGTAGTCCAGTGTGAAAAGAGGACCAAATGCTGAACCAGATATCTTAGTTTAGTATAAACCTTGAGAAAGTTTAACACAAAGCGCTGACAGTAGCAACGTGACTTGATCACCTCTTTTTGTCTTTTTTAATAAATTCATTCGGCAGAAGTGTTTCATAGTGTTTCCCAACATTTCAATGTTCAGTTGTCACTCCAGTTGTATCTAGGCCAACATAGATTTTGACCTGGAACCTTATAATCTCCTTACAAAGATACCCCGTTCCTTTCATCAACTATTTAAAAAAGCTATTTCGGTCTCAGTCTCTCTCTCTCTTTTTTTTTTGTCATTTGCCTCGAATAAAAAAGAGACATTGCTTCAAAGATTTCGTAACTTTTTCAGGTTCACCCACAGCCAAGTTGCCGTGTTGCGCATAATGTACCCATACTTTATTGCCTATCCAGTGAATATAGTTTTAGAAGCATTCTTGCACCTTTAAAAACCTAACATTGCTTATTCATTATTGAATATCCTTCCAAGAGTTTTATTTACTTTTTGTTTTTATGTTTTGAAAATTATAGTATCAACGCACATTCCAATGCGCCAAAATAGTAAACTGTCCAAACACCCTGCCTTGAATGACGCGGTAATCTGACTTAATGAGGGTCAATTTATCAGGGAAACATTATCCGCGGCACCTGCCTGCATATCATTTTCACTCTCATGGAGGCGCTAGGGGTATTCTTAGTCTTTTCACATTGCCTCTGCATTGTTGACTTTTATTTTTCTCACATGATAAAAGCGCGAAATAGTTCATGTAAGTGTGAATCCCGTCCATTTCAAACCTTTAAAATAATATTTTTTCTGTGTTCCTATGCTGTGATATGTAAAGCAAACGCGAGCCACTGACCAATCAGATAAGCTTCTGCTTTGACGGGCGTTTATTATAGCCTATAACCGGCAGCCTATTTTAAGAAGGCGGTCCAAAAAGTTGTGGCGTCCTTTATAGACCAGAGTTGGACTGCTGCAAGTGTGAGTCTCTGGTTTCCTGGAGTTGCCTGCAGACTGAACTCCACTTTTATAAGTCTGCAGGTGGAGGAGTGGGAGGACTGTCAAGAACAACTCCGCTCATTTAGAGCTCAAGTAAGGTTGTTTTTATTTTCTCCTTCTTATTATCAGTAGTATTTATATTTAGCACTGTAATTTAAGTTCCGTTAAGTTCATAGACCCAGGGCACTTAATGCTGTGTCTGTGCGCGTGCATCGGTTTGCCCAGATTTCTATGTCATGCTTTTCAGTGAAAGGAGATTTATTAAATAATAGTTGTTTGCCACACTTTTGTTAATTTGATACCATTGCAAAAGTAATAATAATTCAGAAAAAGTTTAAAAAAAAGAAAATATATATACATTTGGTCACTTTTCAGAATGCTTTGTCTGTCAAATGCTTTGGATTAAAAAAAATCTAATGATCTCTAATATCGAATTGACTGCTTACTTCAGCCCTTAAGATCTTGATAACTATACCTAAAGTTACTCTCACCCCTTTTTTTATTTCAGAAGAGATGGAGAAGAATTTGCCATCAACACCTACCACTGCTAACTCTCCAGAGTCATGTTCTATCCCGGAGGGACGAACTGGTGCATCTGCCAGAGAAATTCCTCCTTCGCTGGGGTCCAATAGCGCTTCTGTTGCTCTGCCTCAGCATGACAAATCACAATCTTCATTTGATCCTGGAATATTACAAGATTCCTCTCCGCCTTCCACACAGACCATATCTGAACCGACAGACAATCTGCCATCTCTAGATAAGTCTGAGGCCAAATCCCCCGAGGTTTCCTCCAAACCCCCCACCCCTCCACCAAACCAGGCTGCGTGCGGTGCATCTTCAAACGTCTCAAAACCTCCTCTGTCCAAAACCTCTTCCTTTTCCAAGCTCAGATCTGCGTCCTCCCCGTCACTAAGCTCAGAATCGGATGCCAAGACGGGCTCCCCTTCTTCCCCCACCGCCGATTCACTCGCCTCCAAAAGACGCACCTTCGCTTCGGTGGCCAAGCGGGTGATAATTCAGGAAAGACTGAGAAAAGCAGAGGAAGAAGATGCCAATGAAGATGACGACGGTGAGAATGCCTTCATTTTGAGTGAAAGAGTGCATGACGTGTTGAAAGTTAATGCTGCTTTGCGGTGGTGAACCTGATGCTCCACATTCAGGTGTCTTTTACATGGAGCAGAGCAATATGAACATCATGGGCCAGAGAATGATTTAAACTATTTGGATTAATTTAACGTGGACAAAATGGACATAATATGTTGGTGGCTGCATTGTCTTCAGGTAAATAGTAGATAATCCCTGAATACAACACGGCATAAGTAGAAATAGAAAATGAGGCTCAAAGCTTTCACAGAAATGTGACCTTTCAGTTTTCATACCAGAAGCTAATTCTGCAAGTTTGGAACTTTGCTTCTGTTTCAGCTTTATAGTATTTCTGGTCAGAGAAACTGTTGGGTTTTAGCATTTCAGTACAAATTCTTATTTCACAGGTCATTTGTCTTTGGGTATTTGGGTGATACCCGGCTGTTTGAGCATAAACAGAGGGTATGTGATTTTGAATTAAATGTGTCAACTGCTGACGTACAATTTTTATAGATTGATTTGTGCCTGGAGCTGGAGGTTACTTGACGACTCCAAATTAATCACAGGACTGAGTGTGAGTGTGCATGTTTATTTCCCTCGGACGAATCTGTGGAGCCATGTGATAAACTGCTCCATTGACAGCTGACTCGTAGCCACACTTCGAGTAAGTGGGTTTAGTAAATGGGTGAAGAACATTTCGGCCGAAATACCACATATGTACGAATGAATATGTACGGGCTCAGCTAAGCCAGAGTCAGCCTGATATCATATATCTGTCCCGCGTTTTTGTCTAAAGCTGATGAAACTACATCCGGACAAAATTTGGAACCTCTTAAATCTGTAACCTTCAAATCGAGGCACTAGCTGTCATTATTATCCACAGCATATTAATTATATCTTCCATACCAGCTAGTACTGAGCCATCATTTTGGTGTAATCATGATGTGGGTCATGCGTTGTATTGCCTCAAGTTGGTGAAACACAGTCTCACACCTTATTTATGTCTTATGCTTACTATTTGATGATGTATCTCTGACAAATCAGCTCTGAGGATATTGTTATATAATATATAACATGAAGCTTTGTCGTTCACACGAGCAATTTTTCAGCAACAGTTCATTTATTGGTCATTGCTCAGCTGCATCTGCTGCATTAAATGACAAATTCCAAACAAAAGATCCAGCCTCTAAAAGGGAGTAAAATAATGAGTGGCTATTACTGAGCAGCTTTAATGGTATGGATATAAACTAAGATTAACATGTATGAATTCGTATGAATTTATGCACAAAACCTGTGCATGAAAAAAATCTGTGCACATTTATGTTAGTATTCCCTTTAAGTCTTAGTAATATACCAGAAAAATGTCAGTATTGCTGTCAGTTGGAATCAACTATTATTTACTGTTCTGATCATGTTTTTTCCATGTTGCTGACATGGCCATATTTCTTTTCTATCGAGCCATTAGATGATTCAGTGATTCAGTTTTCATTTCGTGGTCTTTATAATCTTTAACTACTGTAAGCGAGACCTACAACTGCTGCTGAGACTGCTGTACATGGGAAACGCTGACATTTGAAGGGAGGAGGTTGAACCTTTTTGCTTAAAGGACACTGGACACAGAAATCGTCTCAAAGCTTTATGTCATCACCGAGTTTTGGCCTGACATCGGAGCCTGGCCTGGTGTTGCTTGGCGTCTGGGGTCGTCTCAAAGAATGCCTTTATAGGAAGGCGCATGCAGACATGTCAGAAGCACACATGTGTTCACATCTATGACTGCTATGACACTTTTGCTCGGCTTGAGTTTCAGTACAAGACATGTGTCAGGTGGGATGTTTGAAGAGGAGCATTCAGTTGTCTTTCTTCTCCAGTTATGTGAGGAACAAAGTTTTACTGCTTTCAGATTTGACAAAGCAGAATATAATGTTGTCCTTAACAAAACTGTTTGGCCATCGAAAATACAACAGCAGATTAACACCAAACCATGTCATGTCATGTCGTATATTCAGTAGAAAGCTAAGTCAAAATCTAGCCTCAGGGTGTGAATTAACTAAGCAATGCGTTCTTACTTCTCTTAGATTTAAATATGTCAGATTAATTAATCATCACCAAATTATTACTCATACATAACAGAAGTAAGGCTGAGGCTTCACATTTGTATCAATTAAATTACGGGGGAAAAAAACTAATCAATTAAAAAAATCAACAATGATCTCACTGATGGATGTTATCCCTCTGGGATTATTAAAGTATTTCTGATTCTGATTCTGATTCTGATTCTGATTAATCTGTCCCCATCCTCAAAGAGGCTACATGCATATATTCATCAGAACTTTAGGTATATTGGTATTAAGGTTTAAAATTAAGGTAAAAATGGTAACAGTTACAGTTGCATTGTTCAAAGAATATTTTCTGCTCGTTCTCTAATCCGACGAAAAAGCAGTTCTTAAATCTTACCTTCACTAACTAATAAAACCTTTATAAAAAGCCACCATGTGTTGTTCCTGTAACCAACACCAACCAGCAAAATGGTGTCCACAAAGGTGATAGTCACTTTGTAAAAAGATTGCATTTCAGCCTAGACCACATTCAGGTTTTCTAAAACTAAAGAAAATTCCAATGTTAAAAAAATCTTTAAGTGACTAAAAATATGATGTAAAGTAAAGTAATGAAGCATTTCTACACTGATCTCATGTTACTCAATGGCAAGGCCATTGATTTCTTATATAGAAGATCAGAATAGCGTGTTTTTATTCTGTCTTCTAGCAGTGGAATGCCTCAACGATCTGCACAATAAAGTATAGATTATCATTTCATTTGGAAGCACTGTTGGTTTGACCATAATACATAGTACCACATTTGGTTAAAAGTGAACACAAGCCAACAGAAGAGCCTTATACACACTGTGGAGGTTTGGTGATTTTGACTTCTTTTTGGAGCCATTTGACTCTAATGGTAATTGAGAAATCCTTGAACTCTTCCGCATAATGAAGCTTTTCTTAATTTGTTCAGAGATCGTCTATCAAGTCTTAGTTGAACACATATTTGCAACTGACGGATTAAAACAATGAAGGGTGGTCGAAATATGTATGTATATGTAATAAATATAGGATATAGGTTAATGCATTGATTAAAAAAGAAGTATTTGCTGGACTTTTTGATTTTTATTGATAGGCGTACTCTCTTGTGTTTTGACAGATGAAGAGCCAGAAGAGGAGCTGAGTGTGGAGCAGCTGGAGGAGAAAGCAAAAGCTGGTGATGCACGAGCTCAGACCCGGGTGAGTAAAAGCACATACCCATACCGGCACTTTGCATTGTTTCCAGTCCTGCTTGTTGACTCGGTCTACAGTACATGGGTGGGGGGAGGGCATTTTTGATGTCTAGTCAGCCTCAAAATATTCAAGCCATGAAATGCATTCATCACCTAAATAAAGATAAAAGTGGGAATGTCAGTGAACATGACACCACTTCAGCTTTAACAGAGAGAAAAAACTGAATTCCACTCATACCAGATGAGCTGAAACTGATGATATTAAATAGTACCTGCAGGCTGTGACTTACTTAATTTGAAATAGTAATAGAATATATTGGGTTTGCATTCATTAAACTATTGCAGAACATCTTCAAAGGAAGGCACGTCTCACCCCCCACAAAAGCGCACATTTGATAATAACTGTGTCAGAAGGGGGGG